TCATTATGTATATGTTCTTCAAAATATCTTAACAGTCATAAACTTTAGAAGATATAAACTCTTCAAAAATCTCAGAGACCTACGATAAGAAAGGTAGAGATAGACCTAGAAAGACTTGGCTAGAAATTATTATAAATTATATTTTTTAATGACACAATGAACTAATAAGATTCATGTAGCTGACCCCATATAATTGAATAAAGACTTGATGTTGTTGTTGGACATTCAAAAATTAAAATAATAGAATTTAATAATGATAATTTGTGGAAGAAACATACACATGCTCTTGATCATTCAACAAAAAATCAGAATATAAAGCAAAAACTGGCAAGATAATCTTCCAAAATGAAAAGACTAGCATACTGATTAATTTTTTGGATTTTTTAGGAGGCTTGTGATAGGAAGTGGATGCAATTTCAATTGTATCTTCAATTGGAGAGGAAGACCCTGCTCTCCCAAATCCCTAGCCGCCTGCTAGAACCCAAATAACCTAATAATAAACTAAATTTAGAAAACTCCCAAAATATCATCTGAAATCACCCTATTGTTATCCTTAAATAGGCTCCCATAATTCTCTCCCAAATCAACCCCCTTTCCCTAAATAAATCCCTTTCAGATTTGAATTCAAATTAGATATATTTCCCTAATTAATTCCAACCCAATTGGAATTAAAACTTTCCTAAACAATCCCCCCTTAATTCCTCTTTTTCCTAAATAATTTCCTCTTAGATTTTGAATTCAAATTAGATATCTTGCTTAAATAATTCCCTCCCAATTATAATTTATACATTCCTAAATAATTTCATTTTATTAAGAACCTTCATAAATAGCTCCCTCTTGATCAGAAAATTTCAGGATTCCCTCCCAATCAAATCGACTGGTCCATCAATACTCCCCTCCCAAAGTGCCTCATTGTCCTCAAGGTGGAACGAATGAAACTGCTACTGAAGCAGTTGACTAAGAGCACTGAACTGAAAAATGGATTGAAATTGGGTCGAATGATCCCTTTCTCCAGCATCTTCTTAATTAATCTCTCGATCTCATCCTTCTGAATTTGGGCATGACAGTACAGACAAACACTAATAGGTGAAACTCCTTCCTTCAAGATGATAGCATGGTCGTATTCCTGAGGAGGAAACAACCCCTGAATTGGTTGGAACGCCTCTCGATATTGTTGTAGGAGTGCCTGAACAATGTCTTATGCTTTTATCTTCTCTCCATCTTCCTCTCCTTTCAAACTTTTCAGCTCCATAAAACATCTCACTTCTTCACCCTTTCCCCTCCTTGCAAGTGGCTCCAAAGATGACATCTCCTCTTTTTCCCCCAAAACATCTACCTCCATATCATCCCTCATCATCCCTATATTAGGATCTCTCCTAATTTTCAGTCCAATCAATGGTGCTCTCATCTCTGATGTTGTTGGTTGGGTGTGAAGCTCTAATAAATTCCTTATCATTCCTTCTAGGTTGAAAATTTTTTCCTCCATTGATGTCATTCTATCATCAAATGCCGATTTGAATTGGTCAACTTTTCCTTTAAGACGCTCTTATAGGGCATCAACTTTCTTTGCTGCCATAGGTCCCAAAAAAGTGCTCGGTACCACTTTAATAGGAAGTGGATGCAATTCCAATTGAATCTTCAATTGGAGATGAAGATTCTGCTCTCCCAAATCCCTAGCCAATGGCTGAAGTCCAAATAGCCTAAGAAAAAACTAAATTTAACAAATTCTCAAAACATCATATGAGATCACCCTATTGTTAGCCTTAAATAGGCTCCCATAATTTCCTCCCAAATCAACTCCCTTTCCCTAAATAATTCCCTTTCAGATTTGAATTCAAATCAGATTTATTTCCCTTATTAATTCTCTCCCAATTATAATTAAAACATTCCTAATCAATCACCCTTAATTCCTCCTCATTTTTCCTAAATAATTCCCTCTTAAATTTTGAATTCAAATTAGATCTCTTGCTTAAATAATTCCCGTCTCAATTGTAATTTAAACATTCCTAAATAATTCCCCTTTGATTAAGAACATTCCTAAACAGGTCCGTCTTATTAGGAACCTTCATGATTCCCTCCCAATGAAATCGACCGGTCCATCAGCTTCCTTCGCATCATCGCTCCAAAGAGCTATTATTGTATCAAATGTCGTCTTTTATACTGGCTACACCAAAAATTTGATGACAATAATCTCTTTATCGGGGAAAAAATCAAAGCTTCAAATGGAGTAAAAATTATCTCCTTTCAATTATTCTCCTTTTAAGAGAAAGATTAAAGGTTGCAAGGATTACAAATCTTGGTTGTCACCCATAACTCCGCTTATGAATGACAGTTCTATACTTTTTACAGAAAAACAGTGAATCATATAAGGAGATAATTATCACCTATTCAGGATAGTATCAAGCCTCTATATAGATGAATGTAAGAGTCTACAAAAGAGAAATTACACTCCACTTATATTGGACAGTGATGAAACTCTTTAAAAAAAATAAGAATGTGAGCCTGTAAAAGGGGAGTTGAGAGATGTGAGTTTTCCTCTTTCACGGTGGTATTTATGCTTGAAAAAGAAAAGACTTAATTATTTCGCAAGTTTTAAAAGAAAATTAGGAATTTTTTGGCAATTTTTGGAGCAATAATGAGCTCCATTTAATTTAAAAACATTTAAAATGATTTTAATTAAAAAATGAAATCTATTTTTGAAAAAAAAAATGACTAGAGTGCATGCACATCATGTCCAATTCGTTGGACATCGTTGGCAACAGCATTTGCTGCCAGTCTACTAATTCTGTTGTCTATTTATTCTTGGGCCTTATTTTGGTCCATTTACAACATTTCTTCGGCCGTTATAATCATTTTTTGATGTTTCTGACTCAAATTTTATGCGTTTAAAGTCCAGTTGACTCTTTACAAACAATTTCAAGCAATATTGAAAAGTTAGGAGAAAGGAAATTTTTTCTCCAATCAATGCAAAAACTTCAAGGATAAAATTACTTTCTTGGGTAATTTAGTTAAGTTTACCGTCCTGATTGGAGGTCCACATTGACATCCAAAGAATGATTGTCTTATAATTTTTCAATCATAATAAGCTTTGATGTCTCAATGCAATATTTAAATTAAAAAATTTAAAATTAAATTCAAAATCGTCTGAAAATTTCATTTCAATAATTTTATAATCGAATTGAACATCTCAATGAGACAAATCAATCGGCACAAAGATTGACTCAATCCAAGTCAAAATGAGCTTAAATCAAGTACTTGAAGTCTAATTAAAAACTTCGTGAGATTAATTAAAGGGTCAAGTGATCTTCAAATCTTATATGTTCTTAGTCAAATTAAACATCTTAATGAGAGGAATCCAATGAGCCTACTATCATTCGATTCCAAGGACATTAAGGCTCTTAAATATTAAATGAATGATTTATAATCAAAAGGTTCAATACAAGACATCTGATAGTGTTATGATTTTTTTTTTTTAAATTTACTCTTCAAAAATGATAAATAAACTTTTATTATCCTTATAAAAGAGTGCTTAGAGATCTGGAGAACTCTAAAGTTATATTTGACGTTCGACACCTATAATCAGCATCAATCACTTTTGCCCATCTTTTATCGTCCGACTATCATTGCCCAATTATTATTGTTCAACCATTGGCGCTGGACTAACATCATTTGATTATCATTATCATCATTCTACTACTTCTCCATCAAAATTTATTATAATTATAGGAGGTCATGCTTAAGTTTATTATTTTGTAAACTTGTTTTCTCCAAGATGATATTCAGTAAGACCTTTATAATTTTACTTAGATAATGAATCATTTAATTTGAACTATATTTTTTTTCTTTAAATATTTTCAACAAAATTCAAGTTGGATGGCTGAAGTGAAGGAATGCATCGGACTTGTTGTGTGATCGAAAAGTCCCCATCAAATATAAGGAAAAATTCTATAAGATGGTGGTGAAACCTGCATTGCTTTATGGTGCCGAATGTTGGCCATTAAAAGAGAAGCAAAATACTAAGTTAATTGTTGCAGAGATGAGGATGCTTAAATGGATGAATGGCTTTATCCTCAGAGATAAGATACGAAATGAGCATATATATGAAAAGGTTGGAGTAGCTCCAATGGAAGATAAGATTAGAAATAATTGCCTTAGATGGTTTGGTCACATAAAATGACGTCCTTCCGATGACCTGATTAGGTATTAGATTTGACTTATGTTAAGAAAGATAGAGGTTGACCTAAAATGACTTGGTTAGAAAATAATAGAAGTAATCTTTCTTTATTAGATTTAAACGAGAATTTGACTTTTAACTAGACACAATGGAGAAAAATGATTCATATAGCCGACCCCACTTAGTCGGACAAAGTTTTGATGTTGTTGTTGAGTTTTTTACATAAATATTCAGGTATCTCATATGTTCTTTTCTTTTATCTTTGTGTATGCTAAAACTTTATGCAAAGTTAATACATAAAACTCTCACTTTACTGCCATAAATTTTCTAGCATGCAACACATCTGGATGCTCACTTTTCTAGTTGTGTATGAATGCATTAATTACTAAATTAAAAAAAAAATTAGAAGATCGAAAGTCATATCAAAATAGAATTGATTTTTGGTTTAGATTAAATTTAATGAACTATATTTTGCTTTAAACAATAGTGTTGGCCATGGCAAGCGATGAATGTTGTTTTTTTTTTTTTCAACTCAAAACATTTAAAATTTGTTTGGTTGTTTTTAAATATAAAAAAATATTTAAAAAACTCACTAAACAAACATGCTTAAAAAAAAACAAAGAACAAAAACAACAATTAAGCCTAAGTTATGAAAGAATACTAGAAGAATTTGCATGGAATGTGTAAACTCAATGTGGGAGTAGAATATAGTGATTTGCTAACACACAATGATGTGCTCGTGATATCATCTGTTCCTTCTAGTTTTTATTTTTTATTTTTTTCCCCCTGGACGTTCAAATTTGTTTATCCTACTTTGTTTTAATAGGTTATTGGCTCCCCAAAAATTGGAAGGTTATCGTGTGGATTCGTTCCATTCATATTGACTCTAAATACTACAGCGATCCATTGGCCTTCAATCCTGACAGATGGACAGTAAGTACTCCATTATTTTCAACAACTGTGTTCTTTGCATTCTAATACATGAATTTTTGCACCTTCTTTAGCTAATAAGAAACAACGCTAAATCTTGATAAATATTTGCAGGATTTGAAACCCAAATTGGGAACATACTCTGTGTTTGGGGCAGGACCAAGATACTGTCCAGGTAGCAGCTTTGCAAGGAGCCTACTCAAGATTTTTCTTTACCATGCTTGCCTGAACTACAGGTAAAAAATTTGATGGCATTTTGGATAATGGGAAGAGCTCAAAATAAATAAAATTTTATATGAGAGATTTACATACATACCACCTTATACTATTCTATTTACATATTTAACATCTGAAACTTTAATATTACATACATGCCACTCATAGTTCATTTTCATATCAAATATGAGTGGTAGAAATGAAATTAATTTGTCGTAGGAAAGAAATATGAGTGGTATATTTGATATTAAAATAATATAGGGTGGTATGTATGTAATATTAAAATTTTAGGTGTTAGATATATAAATAGGATGGTATAAACTGGTATGTATGTAAATTTCCCATTTTATATTTAGTAACTGTGGTTATGTCATATTCATTTTGGATTCTGGGAAGAGCTCAAAATAAATAAAACTTTATATGAGAGATTTACATACATACCACCCTATACTATTCTATTTACATATTTAACACCTGAAACTTTAATATTACATACATGCCACTCATAGTTCATTTTCATATCAAATATGAGTGGTATGAAAGAAATACGATCGGTATATTTGATATTAAAATAATATAGGGTGGTATGTATGTAATATTAAAATTTTAGGAGTTAGATATGTAAATAGGATGGTATAAAATGATATGTTTGTAAATTTCCCGTTTTATATTTAGTAACCCTGGTTATGTCATATTCATTTGAAACAGGTGGGAACTTTTGAATCCAGATGTAGGATTTGCATATCAACCACACCCTAGACCAAGAGACGGAGCCAAGATGATATTCAGTAGAGCACAGGGAGATGATTACTAGCAAGCAGATCACACTGACGAACATATCTTTCTTGCTACTGTATCCTTTCTGAATGCTCAATTGAAATTCCTAGAAAAAATAAAATGTTTGTATTGTGCTTGATCTGTAAAGCAATAATGAATTGGTATGTTTGAGGTATTTTTTAGTATGAGAATAATTGATCACCCATAAAAGGCCATTTTTGAAGGCTTTATTTGCGATAGTTTTCTTACTGATTTCTAAAGCAGTTTTTTAGTACAATTTTTTTTTGTTCTTAGAAAGTTCTTTTAAAAAACAGTAAGAAAATTGTTCCAAACGAAATCTGAATCTGGCATATCCATCTTCTCTATGCTTGTATTTGATGATTGATTTGCATATTGAAACCCTTAGAGGTAGGAAGCATACATGATAATGTCGAGTTCTCCTCATTGATTGAGAAAATTATTGCGTGCGGGGATGCGCCACGACAACCGGACCCGGTGCATGCGGGTGACGTGGTGAGTCCGAATTCGTCTCCGAACGGTTTGGACGCCACACGCAATAATCTCTCCATTGATTGTAGTAATTGTTATTTGTGATGGCTGCTTGAGTTTCTCCTTAATATTGCGTGTAAAAGGGGTATAATAAAATACATAATATCGGTTGGAAGATGATGGTGTCATGTAAAATACAATGACAAGAGCACCAAAATTAGAATCTAAGATCCTGCTTGTCTCTTCCAAAGAAAAGAAAGGAGAGGAAGTGACAATAGGGAGAAACATTTATTATGGCCAGTTTTGCTTCTAAGATAATTTTAAAATAAATAGTTTTTTATTGATGTAAAGAAGATGATAAAATGTCATAGCGAGATGTAAAAATTGTGAGAAAAATAATGTGATAAAGTATGGGATTGGAATACCCAATTTTTTATATATATATATATATATATATATTCAAATTAGCTTCAATACAAATATTTGATGTGCCATAAATAGAAAAAATAATAATATCCTGATTTAAGTTTCATCAGTATAGCTTTAAAAAAATTATCATGTTCATTTTAAATAAATATCTTCATATTTATTTATTTTATTATATTTTTATAATAATTATTTTCATTATTTTTATATTTATCTACAAATAAAAATCATATAATTTTATTTCATTTAAATATAATTAAAACATGATGTATTAATTCTGACAATTGGAAAAGATATAAATAGGTTTGTAAGGAGTTTAAGAAAATAATTTGTAATAAAAAAATTTATCTTTTAATAAGTTATATATTAGGTTAGATATTAAAAAGGGCGAAAGATATATGTATAAATTAGTTAAATAAATAGATAAGAATAATAAAAATTTAGTTCAAATATATTAAGGAGCAATATCAAAAAGTGTTTTTATTAAAAGAAGATATTTAACAAAAGTGATGAGATATTTTGTTAAATTTTTCAATGAAGATTATAAGAATTTGATTTACTTTAGTAACCTTAATACCCTAAATGAAAAAAAAAAAAAAAATATCAACGTATCAATAAAACTGAAGTTAATTTAAAGAAAATGAGGTGTTAAAAAGCTATTAGACTTTATTATATTTAATAAAGGTCTGAAATGCTTATGAGATGAAAGAATTTTTTGTCTTATTAATTTTTTTAATATTATTTTGAAGGCTAAAAAAATATCATATGAGTGGAGAATGAATGGATTGATTTCTATTTTTAAGAATAAAGATGATGCACATCATGCAAATTATAGAGGAATTAAGTTAATATGTCATACTTTAAAACAATGGGAGAAAGTTATGGAGCATAGATTGTCACGTGACACAAAGGTTTCTCAAAATCAATTTGGATTCATGCTAAGTAGGTCTACTATGGAAGCTATACATTTATTGAGAGGTTTGATGGAGAAGTATAGAGAGAATAAGGAGTATTTACATATGATTTTTATTGCTTTAGAGAAAACATATGATAAAGTTCCAAGATAAATGCTATGGAGAGTTCTACATAAAAAAGGAGTTAATAATGCTTATATTTAAGCCATTAAAGATATGTATGCAAGGCTTGGTGTATGCTTTTTGTTGATGATATTCTTCTTGTTGATAAGACTAGAGAGGAAGTTGAAGGTAAACTTGAATTATGAAGGTCAACATTTGAGTCTCAAAGCTTTTGTTTGAGTAAATCTAAAATTGAATATATGAAGTTTAATTTTAGTCATAATAGATGTAATAGAGGGACTGTGACTTTGGGTGGTCAAGTTATTAATAAGAGTGTCTTTTAGATATCTTTATGTCTAATGTTCATAGTGATATTGAAATAGATGAGGATATTACTGGTAGAATTCAAATTGGATGGTTGAAGTTGAGGAATGCATTGGGCTTGTTGTGCGATAGAAAAGTCCCTCTAAAACTAAGGAAAAATTCAATAAAATGATAGTGAAACATATAATGTTTTATGGTGCTGAATGTTGGCCATTAAAAGAGAAGCATAATATTAAGTGTTACAGAGATGATCATGCTTAAGTGGATGAATGGCTTTACTTTTAGAGACATGATACAAAATGAGCATATTCGTAAAAAGGTTGAAATAACTCTAGTGTAAGATAAGATTAGAGCCACCTTAAATGGTTTGTTCACGTAAAACGTCGATCTTTCGATGACTCGAATAATAAAGTAGATGTATTAAATTTAACTTACACTTAAAAAAATATAGAAAAAAGACCTAAAATAATTTAGTTAGAAAATATTAGAAATGACATTTATTTATTAGATTTAGTTGAGAATTTGACTCATAATATGACACAATGAAAAAAATGATTCATATAACCGATCCCACATAATAAGATAAAGACTTGTTGTTGTTGTTATTGTAGTATTAATTTTTTAAACTCATTATGATCGATATTAGCATGGCTTAATTTTTTTACACAAATATATAGCAAATTCATCCATGAGGTGTAGTAATTTTTAATCCAAAATTTGAAATCAATTAATAAATTCAAAAACACAAACTCCCCTCCCTCTCTTTGCCATTCCCCCACTCTTACTACAACTCTTCTTCTCTCCCAACCATCCTCGCCCCAAAATCCACTAATCCAATCATTTCATAAACCTCATTGGCCCTCGCATGCTCTCTTCCCGCCGCAACAAACACCTCCACCTCTCCCCCATTTCCGGCCACCCACGACCACCCCACCTCCTTCCTCATCCCCTTCTCCCTCATCTCCTTCCTCACCCTCGCCGCCTCCCTCCACCTCCTCCCCTTCGCATATAAGTTCGCCATCACCACTCTCACTCCCGCACATCCCGGATCATTCTCCACCGCTCTCCCCGCCGCTTTTCTCCCCACCACCGCCTCCCCTTTCACCTCGCACGCTCTCAGCAACGCCGTCCACGCCACCTCATCCGCCATCCCCGCCGGTATCCTCTCCACTATCCCTTCCGCCTCCTTCAGTCTACCCGCCCTCCCCAACATATCCACTAAACAACCATAGTGCTCCTTCTCCGCCTCCATCCCTTCCTCCCTCATCGCGTCCAAGTATCTCAGTCCATCCTCCACCATCCCACCATGGCTGCACGCCGTCAGAACTCCGAGGTAAGTAACACCATCCCGCTTTATGTTCCTCTCACGCATAACATCAAACAGTTGGATCGCATCCGCGCTTCGTCCATGCTCCGCGTAGCCCATGATCATCGCCGTCCATGAGATTGTGTCCGCCGGCCGCACGCAGGCGAACACGGCGGCAGCTTGGTCTATACCGCCGCATTTACCGTACATTGCAATGAGTGCGCTTGTGACCATAGGATCGGATTCAAGTCCCACAGCAAGGGCAAGGGCATGGATTTGCCGGCCGGCGTCGAGCACTGCGGCTGAAGCGCTTGCGCTGAGGAGGCTCGCGAGAGTGATTTCGGTCGCCGGAACCCCGCCATGGCAACGCATCTGGTCGAAGAGCGAGAATGATTCGGCCGCACGGCCTTCCTGCGCATGCGCAGCGATCACCGCGCTCCAGGAGACGAGGTCCTTCGCCGTGGTTTCTCTGAAAGCGGCTACCGCCGCGGGTAGCAGCCCAGCACGAGCGTACATTGTGACGAGCGCGTTGGAGACGGAAGAGGCGGAAGCAAATCCGCTCCGAGCCGCGTGGGCGTGGATCTGTGAGCCGAGTGTGGCATCCGCGAGCGTGGAGCAGGCGGAGATTGTGGCAGCGTAGGTGTAGTCGTTAGGGTTTCCGTCTTTTGGGTGGGCGAGGAGGCGTAGGAAGGAGGCGACGGCGTCGGATGGTCGGCCTGTTTGGGAGTATGTAGAGATTAGGGTTGTCCAGGAGGCAACGTCTCGTGTTTGCATTGCTTCGAAGATGGTGAGGGCGGGGTAGAGGTGGTGGGACTTGGAGTAGAGCGTGACAAGGGCGTTGGAGACGAAGGAGATGTTGGATTGGCCGTCCTTCAAAGCTCCGGCGTGGATTTCACGGCCGGTGAGCAGGAAACCGGCATCGGCGCATGCCTTGAGTGCAATGGCGTAGGTGTGAGAGTCGTAGGGAACCGGCATGGAGGCGAAGGCGAGAAGGGCGTCGCGGCATTTTCCGGCGCGAACGAGGGCGGCGATAGCTGAGGTCCAGGTGACGACGTTGCGTTGGGGCATTTCTTCGAAGACCTTGAATGCAGCGGAGGGATCATTGGGAGTTGCGCGAGACTGGAAGTCGAGGAGGGATGAGCCGACGAAGACGGAGTGCAGTGCACCGGATTTGAGGGTAAGTGCGTGGATGGCATGGCCGTGCAGATGAAAGGAAGAATTGAAGGCGCAGGCTTTGAGGGCGAGGCTGAGGATGAAGGAGTCGGGAGAGAGGGAGGAGTCAGTGAGGAAAGAGTAGAAAAGGGAAAGGGCTTCGTTAGGGTTGGAGGCGGCGATGTAGCCGGAGATGATGGTGGTCCAGGAGATCTCGTCGCGATGGTGCATTTGATCGAACAGTTGACGTGCGTCTGCCAGGCGGTTGGCTTTAACGAGATGTTTAAGGTGGGTGTTGGCCTCGTAAGGGGAAGATGATGGGAGATGTTCGGTGGAGAAGAGGAGTAAGGGTGAGAGTTCGGCGGCGATCCTTGCTAACGGAAAGCGGTGGTAGGCTAGTCGGAGCATGCTCGGTGGTGGTTGTGACGAGCCTAAAAACAGAGACGCGACATTTTCCGGTTGAGCTCATTTTTGAGACTTGGATAGCCAACACTTCTTCATTGTAGGTTGCATTCTTTATGATGAAGATTGGAGAGGATAACAAGGTTTTCTACGGGCGGCAAAAATATAATAATAAGATTTTCATATATACAAATTTCATTTTATATGACTCAGAATAGTAGCAAAATATCTTATTTTTCATTTGAAAGTTTATTTTGAATCAAAATATTTAAATCTTATTAAAATGAGTCAACACTCTCGATAGAAGGAGAGATTATTCTATGCGGTCTCCGAATGCGTCAGAAGGTTAATCTAGATGCGTCACATCATCCAACGCATTGTGCATTGGGTGACTTAGCACATCCGGACTAACCTCCGGGCGCATCTGGACACCGCACGTAATAATTTTTTCGATAAAAGACCTGCAAGAACTTTGGGTCTTTATATTTCAGTAATACTATTAAACTTTTTTGTTGAAATTTTTTCAAAAAATTCAAAGAAATTTCTAGAAAATAAACTCCTTTACTTCACCTTGGAATAAGCTCTCGCGGCGAAGGAGAAATTAGAGAGATTATTTTGTGCGGACACCGGGCATAGCTTATTGTCCAGAGGCCAATCAGGTGTAGCCACATCATCCAATACCAAGCTCTGTACCAAGCCGCGGTACCGAGAAGAGGTGACGTGACACATTTTCATTGGGCTCTGGACGGCATTTAGTATCCGCACCTAATAATTTCACAACAAATTAGCACTATCTTCTAATTCATTGTCGCATTTAGACATTGAATTCAAGGTGATCGGAGTTCTTAGTTTCTTCCATGAAGATTTTCTTGAAAATAGTTAGTTGTTATTATTTTGATGGAATAGATCGGATGTGAGAAGATTTTTCAGCCCATTTTTAAGGCTTTGATTTTTCCTTCCAAAGGAGTCAATTATCTACAAAATTTTGTGTATTCCAATAAGAGAGATTTATATAGAAGCAAGTCATCATTTGATCAATTTTTATAGTTATTTATACTTTTTTTTTCTAATTTTACACTAAATTTTTATTAGATTCCCAGGTGTATGTGAATATTTATTCTAAAAAAACTTTCATTGCAAAATTAAATTATTTTTTGGATGTTCTAACATCTAAATTGTAATGCTTCTATCCAACTGTAAAATTCATCATGCATAGCTACTCATTATATCTTTGAAATTATGGCATAATTAATTAAAAAGTTTAATTTAAGATTCTTTGATTTGTAGGCAGATTATACCTGTAATATCAGTTCTGCTCCAGGTTCGTCCGGGACGAAGTTGGATCGTCCGGGACGATCGGTACAGGTTTGTTCAGAATGGTGAAAATTGGGCAGTTCGTCCGGGACGAAATGTGGGATCGTCTGGACGAAAATTTTCCAGAGCCCAAGTCGTCCTTAATAATTTTTACAAATTACTTGATTTGATGATAACTGTAATTTCCTTATTTGAATAATTCTAATTTTCATATTTTTACAAGCTTTTAAGTTTATTTTGTTTCTTGTATTTTCTTTTCCTTTATATTAGAATAAGTTTATCAATCTACATAGTAATATTTTATTGATCTTAAGTTTTTCCAAAGTTTTTAAGGTTTGAAAAATGTTTATAAATAGGATATTGTTTTATACCTTTTGATATATTGAGTAAAAATTATTTTTACTTGTACAAATTTTATATAAAAAGGTTTGGTGGTTGTTCTACTCATTATTGAAGATTAGTAACTGATCTCCTTAGACTTTGATGAGTTCTTTGTTATCTTTTCTTATATGTATTTCTCCTTGTTTTCAACATAGTTCTCATCACTTCAACAAAGTCTCAAACCTAGTTTTACTTAATCCCAAAATATATCTAACATCTTCAAAACTCTCACAAATATTCTCCTACATCTCTCATAACCTCCCAATAGCCCAACTCCCCAAAACCACCAAAAACCTCATTAATATAAATATATTATTTTTTGTTGACCAATCATATTAAAGTATTATAACTTTTTAACTTTTGATCCAAAATTTATAAAAGATTGCTACAAAGGTGTTGTATCAAGTAAATGATCTTCTAAAGAAGTGCTTCTTAAAAGAAAGTTTTAGTCCTTATGTTGGCTTTACCCTTCTCACACTAAAAGAGAATGGATCTTAGTGAATGTGCTTAGATAGTCATATAACAAATAAGATCATAATCATATATAGGTTCTCCATCCCTAGATTGGACGATTTGATCCATCTTATTTTTGGTTCATTGCATCTCTTCAAAATAGATCTTAAAAGTGACTACCATCGAATTAGGATCAGGCTTGGTGATGAATAACCTATATAAATTGTTAGTTATGCCCTTTAACACTCATAATATATTCTTAAGATTGACGATCAAAGTACTTGAATCATTCATAGAGAATTGTTGGTAATCTACTTTGATGTTATTTTGATTTATAACATGAATGAAAAGTCATATTTTTGACATATTCGACATAGTTTTGAAATCTTAGGAGTAAAAAAATTTACATCAACATGGAAAAATATTTCTTCCTACAAAATAAGTTATATTCACAGGGCTTGTCATTTTTACTAATAAACTCCAATTTTTCTCTACGTAAATAAACTCAACTATAGAGTGTTCAATATCAAAATTATTCAATGATGTTAGAAGTTTTCTATGAACTAACTATATGCTATAAGAGGATTATTGAAAACTTTAGCACAATCATGGCCCTAATCATAGACATCTTTAAAAGAACAAATTTGTATGAATAATTAATGCAGCAAAATTCTTTCACCATATCATAGCCCTCATGATCTCTCCACATTCTCTTTGTTTCCTGAATTTTCCATGCCCTTTGAAGTCTATTATGAGGCATTTGGGATCGACATAGGCAGAGTGCTCTATTAAGACAATCATTTAATTGCTTATTAAAAAAAAATGAAGTAAAGCAATATTACTTCACTTATGAAAAAGAATTTTTTATGATTATACCATCCTTTAAACACTAGAGTTATTATATATTACACAATGAATTTGTTTTACATTATGACTATCGTGCCCTTGAATATATAAACACTAAAAAAACTTAAATACGTGCATACAAAATGTTGGTATTTTTTGAAGTCTTTTTTTTTAGTGTTTATATACTCACTAAAGAATTCAATATTCAGTATTATAATTTATTGTATAAGAACTAGCCATGAAGTTTTACATCTCAATTAAAGTCACATAAAAATTATATAATATTTAATTACTAGCATGATTAATGCAAAACACTTAATGGATACTACTACATATCAACTAGGGGTGGATGTGAGTCATCTCAGCTTGGATTCGACTCGATAAATGGCTTGTGGGCCATGCTCGATGAACCTAACAAGGTAAGCTTGAGTCGGCTTTAACTCAACTTATAAGCTCATGAGCTGTCTTGTATAAAAAATATTAATATATAATACACTTGAATTATGCTAGTTTTTAGAATTTTATATCCAAAGTTGTTAAAAATATTTGAAATTAATATTTTTCTTTCTTATAGTTAGTGCTTTATCATTATTTGACTTCCATTCTCATTATTTTTATAATTATATTAAAATAATGTTTTTAATCTTAATCATTTTATCTCTTTCATTATAGAGCTATTTGGTTAGCTAAAAAAGGAATGTTTTTTATAGCTTAAAAAGGAATGTAGTTCTTAGTTTAATTCATTCCTTAGGTTCACCCCATGGATTAGTTGAAATGGGTTGGGATAACATTTTAAATACATTGATAAGAAAAATATAAGTTTTAATTGGGTAATTTGGTTTGTACCCTATTTTAAGTATTTCTATGAAAATGATGATATTTCTTGACATTAATAAAATAAAATAAAAGTTTTTAAATGATGATATAAATATTCCCATGAATGATTTTATGAATTTTTGCAGATAAATATGTGTACAATTTCTACCCCGCATATATAAAAAAAAAAAAAAAAAAAAAAAAAAATTGGATCATGGTTGATCCATTAGTTAGCCAATAGAAGTCAAGGCTTGTGACACACCTACCATAGTTCTTAGTTTGATCCATTCCTAAGATTTTTTTTATCTTAGGTTCACCCCGTGGGTAAGTTGAAATGGGTTGGGCTAGTGTGGATAGTAAGCTAAGGTCCTAAGGAAGTGAATGACCAAACTTTGCTAAGTATAGACTAGTTTGCTTGGATTTTACCTATAGTAACTAGTTTGCTGGATTTGACCTATAGTAACATAAGGTAGGTTATTAAAAAAAAAAAAATTCACAATTTTGGTCAACCATGGCCAAATGATATTGACCATGGATTCATCAAGATCATAAGTGATCTTAATATAAATTAGAGTCATTTGGATCAAAAGCCAAAACCAATGTTTTGGGTTTGGTTTATGATAGGAATTTTAAGTGTATTTTTATAATTTATTCAACTTGGTTATGATAGGTATTTTAAGGGTATTTTGATAATTGTTTTTTAGCATGGTCAAACATTGGTTAAACATGAACCCAAATGGCCATAGAATGGATTAGGATCATTTGGGCTCCAAGCTAAGTTTAATTGGCTAGTTTTAGATGTTTGATTTAGTTTAGGTTTAGCTTATGGTTTAGGTTTAATTTTAGGTTCAACATGGTCAAAGATATTTGACCATGGATTAACCATGATTCAAAATATTTTAAACCAAAGTTAAGACAATTTAAATTTAAAATTTATGCTAAATGGATTATAATAGGTTTTTTAGGTTCAAGTTTGACTAAAAGTTGACCTTAATCAAACTACCTTTGACCCAAGACTCCTTAATCTATGGGGTGTCTCGAAGGCCTCTAGTGTCACTAAGGGTTGATCCCAATATTAAGGGTGTTTGTTTATTTTTGGGTGTTTATGAGTTTGACATATGATTGACCTGATTGGGTCCATTTCATATCAATGGTGGCTAGAGAGTGTCCTAGAGTCATTAAAAGAGTTCTTTGTTAATTTAGTATTGATTAATCCATAAGGGGTCTAGTCACGCCCATTGGGCCCACTTGGAGGTTCATTTGAGTTTCTAATCTTGGAATGAATTTAACCTTGCACCATTTTGATTTATGAAGGGGGTTAAAGTACTTCTAAATGGGTTTAAAGGTTCTAGGGTTGTCTTATAAGGGTCCTGACACCCCTTAGGGAAAACTAAAGTTTCCTTAGCCTAAGGGCTCCACTGTTCATATAGGAAGAAGTATTCTAAGATTTTGGATTTTTTAGGGCTACCAAAAGCTAAGCACTTTCTATCCACTTAAGAAGGTCCTATAAGGAAGACCCTATATTAGGGAAGGAAATCTAAGTGCTAAGTCTAAGCATTAAGAGAATGAAGTCAACCTCATTAATAAATGTGCTTGTTTTTCCAATGAATTTCATCTAAATTTATGATGGAATTCTAATAGATTTACCTGCTAAATAATAAATGCAAACACTTTATTCTCCACAATACTCTCTCTCTCTCTCTCTCTCTCTCTCTCTCTCTCTCTCTCATGAAAATGCATAAATCTCTACTACCACCCAATGGCTCCAGAACCTTTGGAACACATCCTTAAGGCATTCAAGCTCTTTATTCTATTGTACAAATTAAAAAATACATCTCTCTATCTATTCAAGAAAATAAAAAGAAGGGAGGAGCCGTAATTATGGTTTACATTCCATTCCACCATCTTTTCATAACCAAACCACAAACCCTATAAATTATATAAAAACCCTAGTTAGGGCTTTCAACTATTCAAGCCAAATCTAACAAACTTTCTATCATAATTATACAAATCATTAGTAATGAAGTTAAATAACTCCACTATTGATATTAACTTGACTCACAGACGATCAGCCCAAAAATTATCTCACACTATGCCGTCTGCTCTGCTAGGGTTAGGTTTCCGCCGTCACTTCTTCTCCCCCGTTGGTGAGAGCTTCTGTCTCTTTTAATCGTTATATTTTTCTTGTGTTTGTGTATGGCGTCTTCTCGGTTGAGGGATCCTGGTTTTTTGGGTGGGGTTGCGGCCCCTCTTTCATTCAAGGATGCGGTTTCTGGTATCGCTTCTTCTGCTTTCCCTGATCTAAATTTTTCTTCTCATCGTGGATTGCCGGCTTTATTAATTTCTGAAGAGGAGATTCAGGCGCTTGCGAAGCCATTTGAATTTTCGTTGGTTGGTCGTTTTCTGGGGCGGAGGCCGTCGGTCGACGCAATTCGTAAATTTTGTTTCAATTTAAAGCTGATTGGGGATTTCTCAGTCACTGTTCTAAATCACCAGAATGTTTTGATTAAACTGGTGAATGATTTTGATTATTGCAGAATATTTTTACATAGATCTTATTTTGTTCAAAATTGTTATATGAAAGTGGTGAAATGGTCTCCCCATTTGGATGTTGAAGTGGATTCGCCGGTTGTGCCAATTTGGGTGTCTTTCCCTCTTCTTAGGCCTCATTTATTTTCTCCTAGAATTCTTTTTTGTTTAGGTTCTCTCTTTGGTAGACCCCTCAAATCTGATTTGACGACGGCGTCTGGTTCTCGCCCGTCCATTACTCGCATTCTTGTTGAGATGGATGTTACCAAGAAACATGCTGATAAGGTTTGGGTTGGCTCTGTGGAGTCGGGGTATGTGCAGTCCGTTATTTTTGATGATATTCCTAGTTTTTGTGTGTATTGTAGCTCCTTAGGTCATTCTAAGGAGTCATGCCCTATCTTACATCCAAATCTTAAAACCTCTAAACCTGTGATTGATCAAGGCGGGGTGCCTGTGTCGATTGTGCCTGTTGTTGAAGGTGTGTCGGATAACAATGTTGTGCTTGAACCGAATGTTCTTGGGTCGGAAAATGTTGTAGTTGTTCCGTGTGGGGAGCTGGTCTTTAATCCCTCTGTTGATATGAATTTGGAAATAACTCAGGAAGGCAATATGATGCTTGATGTTGGTGTTAAGGATGTGGCTGAGAATTTGCTGCCTCCTAATGCGATACCTTTTTTTCCTTCGTGTGTTGATACTGGGCAGACGGCTGAGATGGTGGGTAGTCTGAATGCTGCTCTGGTGCCGGATGTTAGTGAGAGGTTGGTTTCTATTCCTGTTAGGGCTGTACCTTCCCATGTCGTGGATGATGGGTTGATGCATGGTGATCCGTCTGTGCTGGGTAATGTGGAAGGTTCAGTTAAATGTCAGTCTACTGTGCAAGGCAGTTTGATTAATGTTCCTGTTAAACTATTGGCATCCCAAACTATGTTGGGTTCAAATTCTAGATTGGATGTTAGGTCACATGGTGATTGGTTGAACAACTCGTCTGATAATGGATCTGAATCTGATTCTTCTTCAGATCCTGGTTTTGAGTTTGAAATGGTTCCTGATAGGCCTTTTAGGGCTGGCTCGCGTGGGAAATTTTGGAAGCGAGGTGGTAGAAAAAGATAATTTGTTTTTATCTTTGCTTGCTGTTGGCGTTTTCATCGGTTTGCTTATCGTATGGATTTTAATTTGCGGAGCTATGATGTGCTGGGGCTCGCATCATCATCATCGTTCTTGTGGCAATCATTTCCTTCTGGATGGTCCTTGAGTGGTCTCGTGGTGCTGGTAGTCTCGGTGTTATACTGAGCCCTCGTTTGGATCGTTTGGATTTTCGTTTTCTTTTTTCGAGGGGGTTTTGCTAGGTCTTTTATTCTGTAACTTGTTTTAATTTTTTTTTCCGCATTCTGATGTAACCTTCTCATTATTTAAAAAAAAAAAATAGTAATGAAGTTAAATGAGGTAAAAATGATAAGGTAAGAACTAGTGATAAAATTAAAAAGAATGGATAAAAAATTTATGATATTAGATAAATCATAAGAGTGGTATCTACTGAGTGTAATATTGAGTAGAAAATATTGAAAAATAAATCTAAAAGATGGATGCATGCAAATTAATAATTATCTAAGTTGCACAATAAGTACATATACATAAAATTGATGTTAAGTGATTGAGAAGAAAATTGCAGTAGAATAAAATAACATAGAAGTTATATGTGTTACAAAATATTGCTCAAAATAAAATGATTCCATCATTTAATAATAATGAATGCAAAAGGATGATTCATGAAATGGGGCCCAAGTAGTTGGGACATCAAGAAAAAACACTTCATAGTTTATCATCATATCTTGTCTATATAGAATTGTGTAATGTCTAACATCATGTTGGATAATTAGGCATTTCATAAATGTTAGATAAGCCATTGAATGTCTCTCTTTTTTCTTTTAAAACAAAAATTTTAATTATTTTGGTAGAACTTTTGGTGATTTTTGGACATCTAGAACTCGATGGTATGCATTGTAAATATTAAAGATAAATTGCATCAATTTCTTATGATTTATTTTATATGTTAGATGTTTATTAAAGAGTTCTAATTCGAATGATATGCTTATATTGCATAGAATCAATCTATAATTAGTCTAATGTTTCGTTTTGGACAACTTTTTTACTGCTTCTTAAAAACAGCTTTTAGTACAAAAATTAAAATTTATAACTAGAAATCTACTTTAAGAAGCAATAAGAAAGTTGTTCCAAACGAAACTTTATACCCCTAAACTCTTCCTAAATTCAAGTATTTTGCTTGTTCAGGAATTCTTCATAAGATCATGTCAACAAGAGATAACAGCCAAAAAAGAAAGCTAAAGACAAATATATAGCATTTTAAAGTATTACCATTTGATCTTCCACATATACGTTAGTGAAGTACATCAAACTTGTTCATAACTTCATACCATGGCTGTTAAGTAAAACCATGATAGCTTTCAGACACATACATGTTTACAAACTGTGTTAAGAAAAGCCAGCAACTCCTTGTTTCTCTCCTCTTTGAACGAAAACCATCTAGAGGATAAACACAAACCTTAAGCAGTAACACAAGCAAATGCAAGAGTAGCGATAAATGAAATAGTTGCATTTGGTTAAGGAGTGCAGAAGCAACCATTATATTCAGTTTCTATTTCCACTTGTTCCTCCAGCCTGTTCAGCCTCTCTAATGGCCTTTGCCTTCTCCAGCCTAGCAATGTTCCTGTCTCTCGCAAGCAATTTACCAAGGTACCGAAGCATCTTGCACTGGCTGGAGATAATCCTTGTTGTCGATGGAGCCTCATTCAAAACAATTTCATATCCATCTCTCATTGTGTCCATGCCTTCAGTCAGGAGCTGCCAGAAGAGGCCACCTGCTGTTGCACCTCCAGTCCTCGCCGATTGGTAGATTTTGAGGTAGACTGTGTTGAAAAGAGCATCTCTTTGGGAGCTACTGTAGCCTGGATCCTTCCATGATTTGCCAAACTCAGTTAAGAGAAGTGGCTTTCGGATAATATTGCCGGCGTCTTGTATATGGGCGTCGAGCCATTTGTTCAAGAATTGAAGTTGGGATTGATCAGTTGAGCTTGGTAACCTGAAAATGGGCTCAGAGATCAATTATAAAATCAGAATAATGAAGTTGGATAGGAGAATGAAATATTAAGTATGGAAAGGATATTGCATATAAAATGAAGGAAACGGAAATATAAACAATCTCCATCATATGAAATGCCTAACTAGAAAAGTTTAATTTGATTAGCACAATTCTGAACTCCATAAAAACTTGCATTTTATTACCACTTGATGCAGATTGAAAAAGTTGTATTAAAAAAAAAACTTTTTTTCCTTTTAAGGCATTGTCACTACCTTGACTATATTTACCAAGCTTTAAGGATTAAAATTTGAATATTTCATACACAATTTTTCATCTTTAGAAGTTCGCTGAATGAGATATCATCCAATACAACAACAATATCAAGCTTTTATCCCACTACGTGCGGGCATGAATGACATCCAATGTTTAAGAAAAATAAAGCCACTAAAATCAATATTGAGCAGAGAAAATGATGGCATTGCCTCTTTCTTGCACATCAAACAACGCTGAAAGCATTGCAATTAAACTCTGCTAATCACACACTACATGAGAAGACCAAGCAAGCATTTTGCATACATAGCAGAATTTAATTACTGATTATTCTGCTAGGCTAGAACATTACCATTGGTCTGGATATGAATGGAGTGTGGCGAAATCAATTCCTGGAATCTGGTTGTTGGAGATGAAGTCAGTTCCCACTTGGAAGCCAGGATTTGTTTGCACCTCTGAATTTGATTTAGGCCCATAAAATCCTTCAAGGCCAGCTTCAAGCAAGTGATTGCTATCTATGGATTTAACATGAGCAGCCATTTCTGTGATCCATGCCTGCAATCAGAAAACAAGAGCTGAATTGGCATGTCCAAAGGTTATGAGCTGTTATTTTTATTTTCCTGCAAAAGCAAAGGTGCAAAAGTAATCTATTGAACAATTTCTCAGAGAAAATGAGCTAAATGAGTATCAGAGACATCCATGGTGTGACTAGAAGGACAACCTCGCTGCTCTGTAAGTTTTAAAATGTAGAAAGAAAGCAAATTAAAGGCAATAAAAAGGTAAAGATGTTTTAAATTTTAACCTGTATGGTATTCCCGGAGATATCTGAGGGACATCTAGGCTCATTCATGAGCTCCCATGCAAAGATGGTAGGGTCATCCTTGTAAACAACTCCAGTTATGGTGTTGTACCTCGTCAGCACAGTCTGCTTGACAGAAATCATAGAGTGATTAGTGCCAGTTCAATATTAGCGTATTAAACTAGATTAAGGCTTCGTTTGGGACAGCTTTCTTATTGCTGCTTTCTGATATAAAAATTTTGTACTAAAAACTGTTTTAGAAAGCATTAAGAAAGCCATCCCAAACGAAGCCTAAATTTCTGTTGCTTTTGAGTTGTTGATTTGTGCTCTACTACTCCTACTTAATGATGCTCATTATTATGCTAGAAAAAAGGAAAAATTGCTGTTTGGGGAAAAAGAAGGGTCATAGGTGGCAAAGGCAATGAAATTGGAACCATTCCAGCAGCATTGCAGCAGTAGAATTGGAATCTTTGAGGTGTCACAGATACAAAAGCTTCTTCTGATCATTATGTGTTCAATAAATACTTTTTAGACATTAAGTTCCCTGTTCTGCTGCGTCAAGCAGAAGACATGTTTATAGTGGTTTTTGATACTGATCAGATTGACAGATTGGAAAGAAAGATGAGCAAATCTATTGCAATGAAAGATCTTCGGTGAGCTTGGCATATTATGGGTAAAAGCATCTTCTTTGATAGCAAAAAGGCTTCCCCAGAAGCATATCAAAAATGTTTTAAATAGGTTCAACATGAGCAAGAAAAAATCAATGGATTCTCCTTGAAAGTCACTTCATATGGAATTTCATCAATCTCCTACCAATGAAGTAAAATTAAGAAATTATAAAAAGTGTCTTTTGCAATGGAGTGACTTGCGCAGCTTAACAATTCAAAACTAAGTCCCATCTGTTTTTTAAATCGCTTACTCCACAATAATTGATTTATCCTTCAAAATTTGGAAGAATCTGTAAAGGTTATCTCAAATAGAAAATAATTTTTTAATCCATTGGGCCTGCGGGAGCCTTGTGAAGAGAGAAAAGACAGGTTTCTCTTGAGCAAAAAAGAAGAAAACATCAAACAAGCCAAAAAAGACAGCAGCACCAAAGATTCCTCTCATTAAAAAAGGAACACTGTGACGAAAAGCAGAACACCAACCACTGTTTTCTAATTGATGCATGCGAATCCACAGAATGGTAAAGTTATTGGCTTATAGTGATCTCTAGACCATGCTAGAAGGTTGTTAAAGTCATCATTGCTTCAAAATGGAAGATTTTTGTCTTGACTCGATAAAACTGTTCTTCATTTGAGACTTAATTTCTATGTAAAAGACTATCGTTACTGTGTGGCTGACTGTGTGTTTCATTATTCTTGTTTAAAGGTGCTCAAAATCTTTTGCAAAGAAGACAATAGCTACCACTTCATGTTCAAGTAATTTTTCTGAACATGTTTACAAATCAACAGAACAAACCAGGATGAAGACATGTAATCAATGAAGAAAATTTTCATAAATAAGAATAGGAAGAGCTTAATACACCCTAAAAAATCATTCTCACAGCAGGAAAAAGTATCTAAGGTTACATATGACTGAAATATGTCAAGAATCCCAAGTAGGTGAAGTAGGAATAGATTGATAGAAAAAAAAATCAGAAAATTCCCAGGAGGAAGAACAAAAAAAGCAAAAGGTTAACTGTTGTTCAGTCTCATCAATTAAGAAACATGTAAATACATCATATCTATTCTAAAGTTCAAGTAGATGTTCCTATCAACAAACTCCTAATATATGATTTGACCTTCCAAAGACTACATAAAATATTTTAAAAAAATTTATAGCCTTTCTCGACTACTTGCTCAACTATAAATACAACGAAAATCATACAAACTTGGCAATTTTTTTCGTCTCTCTTCATCAACTCATCTTGACATTCAGAATTCGTCACTTTAGCAATATATTGGGGCACACTACCTCCACACCCAAATAAAAAAGGAAAAACAGAAAGAAAAAAATCACAGGAGATGAAGAAAACAGCAAAGAGAAAACCACCTGATAAAAATTAAGGGAAGAAAAGATGGGATGAGAAAGAAAAATGATCCAATTCCCCATACCTTCACATGATTCTTATAGTATCCCTTAACAACATTATTAGTGAAAAATTCATCATCAGATCCAATGTTCTGTCCTTGATTTCTAGCCCACTGCACATACTGCTTCTTCCCCCCAAAGTTTTCATAGTTGTTCACAAAACTCAGTATAAGCCTGATTCCATACCTTCTGGCCTCAGAAACCACAAAATCCAAGCCCTGAACCAAGCCAACCCAAAATCCTAGTCAGAACAAGAAAAGAGTACAAATTGCAAAAATAAATCCAAGGGAGAACATGTAAAAGAACAAAAGAAATTTTTTTAAAACCTTGAACATTTGTTCATTGTATGATCCCGGAGAGTATTGCAATGCATTGTTGCCGCCATCATTGAAAGCCCAAGTTCTAGCCACAGTGAGTCCATGGCTCGAAGCTTCTCTAAAGGCGTTCGAGACTTTGACTCTCTGAGATGGATCTGATGCTATATACATGAGCCAGTAGGCATTAAACCCATTGGCAAAAAAACGGTTCCCTTGGAGCTCAAAATGGAGCCCCCTTGTTCTTATCAAGTCTCCCACCACTTGAGTTTGGAGATGCTGGGAAAGCAGAAAGATCACAAAAACTCCTACAATAGTTGTTCTCACCATCTTCCCCTTCTTCTCAGTGACTGTTAGAAGGAATGCCAGAAGAAGGAAGCTTGTCGGTCTTCAAAATCTGCTTCCTCTCTCTCTCTCTCTCACTGGTATGGAACTGAAGAGATAGCGGTGATGGGTAAAGTTTCCTCTGCATTCTCCGACTCCTGCTCCTACATAAAAAGAAGCGGCCAACGGTTAAAAAAGCGTTTTTTAGGTTTAATTTGAGGTTTTACAGAGAGTCAAATAATGCTTCCCCGCTTTACATTATTATTTCTATGTTCCATTTGGTTATGTTTGTTCAACTAATCTTGAAATGACTATAACAACTAATAAATAAATAAATAGAATTTACCTCCCCATCACTATATAATCTTATATTTATGTATCAACCCTCTCAAATTTTTAACCAACAAAAATATTGCATGGTCTTGTTCATAAGCTCTTTTCGTTTATTTCCTTATTAACTCTCCTATAGCTATTAAAGTTGGGCATAATATATATATATATATATAACAATGGGCATAATATAATATGTAAGAATATTCTCCACATTATTTGCATATAATATTATGAATGTAACACTTGAGGATCTAATTTTGAAAGAATTGTCTATTTATATGTTAATTAATTTATGAGAGCCATTAATCATTTTTAATTAATAATCATTAGTGGAAATAATTATATATCATATTCATCAAAACAACTAGTTGTATTCAAATCTCAAAATTCATATAAAATATAAATCTTTTATATCTTCAATTTCGGAGCTCTAAAAATTATAAAAAATATATTCATAAAATAAACCAGTTTGTCTAGAAGTCTTTTGTTTGAGAAGATTGATTACGCATTCTACAATTATTTTGTTATAAATATATAGGTTGATTGGACAATATTATATTTCTTTTTAAAAATAAAAATAGAAAAAACTTTTTATTTTATGTGGATTTTCATCAGTATTGATTTATAAATAAGGATCAAAAGGTTTTGTTTGGGGCAATTTTTTTGCCGCTTTTTAAAGTAGATTTCTATTTAAATAAAAGCCGCTTTAGAAAGCATGAAGAAAGTTGTCCCGAACAAAATCTAATGATCTGTTCAGGACTGTGGTGCTTTTATCAATTTTTTAAAAAAAGTAGAAAAAAACAGAAATCAACAGAAATTGTGGTTAGATTTTAAAAAATAATTAGTTAGAAAGTTGTTTCAAAGAAGTCATTTTTTTCCTCTCTCTTTGGGATTAGATAAACAAGTAATGGTCATGAGAAATTTACATTTGATTGTTTGACTTTAATAAAAGTCAACTAAATATTGGTCAATACCTACTGCTGAGAGGAACAACTGACTGAACTCTCACTAATATTTCTATGCAAAGATTTCTCAAAGAAATTTTCTGATGAATAATATTGCCTTGAAAATTGGACAATGTGCTTCTCTATAGATTTTGTAAATAATAATAGGCTATGAATTTATTTAAACTAATAGTAATGGAAGCATTGAATTGATGTTTTATCTTTCAGCTGGTTTTTTTCTTTTTTAAAATTTGCTCAAGCAAGCTCCATTGTTGCTTGCAAGCTAGTATGTACAGTAATGGTCTAAATAAGATTGATTATGAAAGAAAGTTTTATTCTTTATAGTAATGAGGGTGTCAACATTCTGAAAAGTTGACAGATTATTGGTATTGAGAATGATATATTTGAAGTAAATATAGAAAATATAATTATGAAGAAATTAAGATTTATGCAGTTTATCATGATCATGATCACAAAAGAGAAGAGCGGATCCGAGCCACTAAAAGTAAATGGAAGCTATAATTATGAAGTGTTGATTAAAAAGAATTTATAAATAAATTTTGAAATTTTGTGCTCACACAAATAAAAGAAAAAACTTTAATTACATAACTGAGATATTATTGGAAGTCTTTTTGTACCACTATCTCAATATTGTAAGAATCCTCTTACACTAATAATCACTGACAGGGTATGTGAGCATAATCACTTTATTTTTCAGACCCTTAAAGAGCATGCGTATGACATAGAACTATCAAGATTAGAGCTCCCATTAGAGATAACCATCTAGAATAATTCTATAGCTCAACATAAGGCCATCTCCTAAAAATTGTGATCACTTGACTCTAAAGGGATGCTACAAAGCATCCTTTCCATCCTTTGTCTCCAAAGTTATCACCTAATTGCTATAATTAACTCATAGGGGCAGTTAATGATAAGCCTTAAATTCGAACATGTACTTTTTCCTTGAGATTCTACATCTTGAGAAGTCATCCGGCTTAGTTCCCTTTACATACTTCTTTGAGTGAGTTTCTTTGACAACTTGACCTCCTTGGCAAGTTGGCCTTCTTTTGAGAACTCGATTTTTCTTCAAAACTCAACCTCCTAGATAATTTTTTCGACTCAATCTCTACATTTTTTTCCTCCAAGTATGCCTATTTGATCTACTTATCCTCATTTATTTAATCAATCTCTCTAATGAATTCTCTAATATGGTTTTCTTTAAAGAACTTTGCATCCTCAATAGATTGGCCTTCTCAGCCACTTCACTATGAAATTTGATTTTACCCAAATTAGCCTGCCAGAGATGTCCTAACAACTCTTTGACATCTATTACACTTCACTACTGAGTTACAGCTAGCATAATTCCCTAGGGGCCTAAAAAAGGAGACATATATCCACTATGCATAGTAACCTATCATGATTAATGTAAGTGATTCATGCTCCACATTTTTTTTATGGAAAATTTAAGATAATTAGATTTTATTTAAATTTAATACTGCATAAATTCTTTTTTCTTGTTTTTGTCTTCAAAAACATGTTAAATTTCTCATGATGGACTTAATTAATAGTGTGTCACCTTGTCATCATTGTTTCTTTTGATATATTTTGACCATTCATCAACTGAAGTAATGCCGAATCAAGATAGTTGCACTCCCTTTACTAAAGAAGTTAAGACAAGCCATGAGTTGGAATTTTTGATTTCTTACATTCTAACAATATAAAACACCTTTGTCTCATCCTTACTAGTAGAATTAGGGCGATAAATTTCAATAAAAGGCATCAACCCCTATAACATATTATTAATGATTGTGATGAGCCAACCTAGTGGTTTAGATCATATTGTATGTAGCACAATAAAAGAATGTGTAGAAAAGAAAAGAGATGCAAATCAGATTTATAATTGTTTGGCTTACTGGCCTATATCCCACTTCCTAAGTCCTCTACTTGGAAATTCAACTAAACCCTCTTTGCATTAAGAAAAATATATTAATCTGATATATTTTAAGTATTATAAGAAGACTATCCAGCACCATCACCATCATAACCATTATGGACTCCACTTCAACAAACATTATTACAACCATTACCAATTGTACCACACCATCAACTAATAATCTACCATTATGTTCATCCACACAAACTACATATACACAATTATTTTATCTATATTCAGCATTTCCACCATAATCCTAAGCAGACAATCTTCGGGAATATGTTCCCTTAGGGGATCACTTAATAAAAATTCACTTTATTTTAATTTTTAAAATTTAAAAACAATAATATAATTTTATATGACTATTTTACACGCACTGAAATAAAACATGTTAGTCATACGTCATTGAATATCTTTTCTTGTAAAATTTCATTTGCAAAAATCAAACTCATATTATCACCCTTTTTTTCTTCAATAATGGGTTCCATGAGTTGGCTTGGTTTAATTTGGTTAAATTATTCAAAGTGGTCTAAGAAAAACAAATGGATCAACTCATGCTAGATGAGTCAATTTACCAAATTATGGTCAAATTGGGCCTAAATCATTTATGGTTGACATATAAAAATTTATTGAAGGCCTTAGGTAAAATCAATTTAACCAAATTCCATAGGGCTGAATAGGCCCATTCAATCTTAAATAGGTCAAAAGGTTAAATCACATTATACCAAAAGGTATATTAGCCTTAATTAGGTCATGTCTAATTAAATAGGATATAATAGGTTGGTTATCCAATCTAAATTTTTTCAATCATAGGGTTTGAGCCCTATTGAAGAAATTGGGTCCAACATGTATAAATTAAGGTTAAATGGATCCTATTTTAGCCCAATAAATTAGAAAGAGTCAAATATGAACAATATTATGAAAATTCCTTCCATTAATGATTATGTGAGTATGGTGAGTCAAGACATTTTTTTAGTGCACATATGAGTACAAATAACTTAATGAGGACTAGCCTTAGCATTATTACCCTACTCACATCACCTAAAAACTTATAGTAGGACAGCCATGGTTAATAAGAAATAATAATAAGAGCCAATAAAGCTAATCCTATGGATTGTTCAAATAAGAATACATGGTCTCCCTTCATCCATAAGCCATAGAGTCAACTCTCAAACTTCTTGATAGTTATAATAACATTTTAGTTAGGTTGAGGCATTTTTTTCTTTTTGTCCATATTAAAGGGATACCACCCTCTTAAATGATAGTGAGAACCCCTAAGCCTAATTGAGAAATGACTCTACCAAACTTATTTGTGTGATTGCTTAATATATATTTATTAGATTCCATATAAATCAATAAGTTACTCAACCTTATGACAACTTGATGAGAAAATTTTTTCTCATAGAATAAGGTTTGTGGGGATACATCAATAATTTAGAAATGAATCTTTAATGATATGTTCCAAACCATCTAGGTCACTGTCTATTCCTTTATAACTATTTTGGTTAGGCAATAAGGGGTTGGTGTTAAGATCCAATCCAAGAAGCACACACCTAACTCATCATAATCCAATTAATTTTTTTTAAAGAATAACTAAAGAAATTTCTAAATGCTAGTTCATGTTAGCCTTACTTGGCATCGCACAATTTCATCTTAACAAGTTATTCAATAAACCATACCATCACATATAGTAAAGGTCAACTATTCCAATTAAAATTTAATGACTTAAATATTTCAACTAATTTATGCAAAACCAACCAATGGGATCTACCTAATAAATTTTCAATTTACCTTTTATTGCTTAATCTACAATAAGGGGCATTCTATTAATCACTGACATTAATGGTCAAACATAAGAATACAATAATTGTTAAGATAAAATAAACGAAGAAATGGATTTTCCCAAAAAGAATTTTTTTTATTCTAAAAATTCTACTATGGATAATTAAT